GCAGCTGACTTGGGGACGCCTGGGTTTCTTAAGTTGAATCTGTATGTAAGTCAGAACTGGCGTCCAGATCTAGCCGCGGTTGAAACTGATCAGTTTCAGCAGCGGCTGACGCCAGTTCCGACTTACATACAGATTCAACTTAAGAACAAACCTACAGTCCCTATCTTGTACGTAACCCGGGGACTGCCTGTATTGTTTTAACTCATACAGGCAATTTACTTAACCGAATGGCTGGAATGTTCACAAAAAGGTAGTACCCTGCCCATTCATCACAGGTGCACATTTTATGCACCCTGAGGGGTTTCAGTGTTAACTTGTGTATTTTGAATAGCTTTTTATGCCTTTTACATTTCTCAGTGCTGTCTCTGTTCTTATAATCCTTCTGCTTCTACAGCTACAGGCTAAGATAAAGCACAAAAGTTGAGTGACAATACAATCAGAATCTAAAATATGTATGACAAATGTATTGTATTAAAATTCCTCCATGTACACATCAGTCACTGCTCCTTGGCAGTTGCTTTAAAAATTGTTTTTATCCTCCAAGCATCAGTTAAAAAGTTAAATTTTCAAGAAAAAACGAGACTGAGAATAATGGTAACAACAACATAAACTATCACATAGCTGTAGGCTGGGAAGGTGAGTCTTGGTCATTAAGCCAGTACAGCTGGGCAACTGCAGCTTGTAAGGAACAAAAATATGACACTGCAATCTGGTTCCACAATGATCTGTTAAGTTTGTCAAATGCAACTGGTTGTTTTGAATACTGTGGAAAAAATAGTGTTAAAACAGGAATTGTGGTAAGATAAGGATGGAGTATGGATACCGGTACACAGTTGTTTTGCAATTTAAGATCTTTTAGTGAGGTGGATATAATTGAATACAAATCTGTATTCATACCCTTCATACTATTGTAATAATCTGTGCACAAAATATGCCTTGTAAAGTATCATTTAAAAACTCATAGGCTGTGTCTAGACTGGCAAGTTTTTCCGCAAAAGCAGCTGCTTTTGTGGAAAAACTTGCCGGCTGTCTACACTGTCCACTTGAATTTCCACAAGAACACTGACGATCTCATATAAGAAATCAGTGCTTCTTGCGGAAATGCTATGCTGCTCCCGTTCGGGCAAAAGTCCTTTTGCGCAAAAGATTTTGCTATTCAACTTAAACTACGCAGTTGATGTAGCTCAAGTTGTGTAGCTTGTTTATGCTTTAACCCTGCTGTGTAGATGTGTCCTAAGGCTCCTAGACCATATGGTGAAAGTTTGTTTTGCAGCTAAGAGAGTTTCTTAAATAGATACTAGTAATTGTTTTAGCTTTATTAATACCCACTTATAATCTATTTTTGTAGGTAATAAACTTGTTTTACTGTTTTATATAATGTGGTGAATCTAAATTGATGTGTGTCTGTGTAACTCCATTACGATAAGATAGTATTTTATTCCATTATGCCCTGGTATGTGCCAGAGGATAGTTAAGGTATGGCTTTTCTTCCCTCGAGAAGATATGCTTTGTGAAAGTAAATGGCAGCCTCTCTGTGAAGAAGGTAAGGAATTTGGACAAAGGTGATGGTAGTATGTGTGAAAATCCATACTTGTAACTTCTGAATTTTTTTTGCTATATGTACTTGTATGGAGTCACATGGCTGTCTTGTGACTTACACTGCTAACAGATTGGCCCCAAAGCCTTTAACCCCTGGGGTGTTCTGAGATGTTTATGGATCTTAGGGTCATCTGTGAGCCTAGTGTGCTAAACCACATGTCATTCCCCTCTGGGAGAAGGGATGCAAACTCTTATCAGTCTTCACCAATTTCTGTCCTGGAAGAATAATCTATGAAAAACTCAGTTTCCAAGCCTCTCTGTAGGAAAGCCCTCAAAAGGGCACTCCGTGGCACATTGTCAGTAAAGATCTTTGAGTTCTTGAGATGAATGGTGTCACGAGAGAGAAGAATTAATCACTATGAATACATGAAATATCATTGTCCTTACAATATCATTTCCTTACATTCAGTGCCATGAAAAGAAGCAAGAGGGTCAAAGAATCAGGGGGTCTCTCTATTGGGAAGAGGGCAGAGAAGTTTGGTTTCCCAATAACATCCCCCAGAGATGGGGAGGCTCTGAGGGCAGAGTGGTTTCCTCCTTACTAGTCTTAGGGACCTTCAATAGCATCAGTCATCAGCAATTCAGGTTCAAGTAAAACTGGGGACCTGTGGGAAGCCCTTTACTTGGGTCCTTCAGTATGTATCCTCTTTCCTCACACCTATTTCAAACTGCTTTGCTTTACCATCTATTGGGGGGGGGAAGGGGTGGCCGATGCAGGAGAGAGGTTTGTATAGGGCAGGGAGGTGGGAATGTGGCCATAACTGGTTTGTGAATTCTCTCCCCCGCCCCACGGTGGCTTCTATGATTAAGTGTGATGCATTTCTCATAACACCAATGCCTGTGGCTGTCCAATAGTGATAGAAACGTAGCCGTGTTAGTCTGGGGTAGCTGAAGCAAAATGCAGGACAATGTAGCACTTTAAAGACTAACAAGATGGTTTATTAGATGCTGTGGCTGTCCAGTCATCCATGCTTCTTGGCTCAGATTTTTGACTTGCAGTTGCTTGTTGCAACCGCTGGGAGTCACTATGGTGCCTGATCTGCAGGCAACCAGATGCCCTGTCTGTTTTATCTCTTGCTGGTCCTACTCCCAGGCAGAGGAAAAAGGGAAGGTGCAGCCTGGAGCAGGTAGCAGCAGCGGAGTTACTGCATATTAGTCCTAATATTCTCTTACCACACAGCATCCACTCACATCTGCCAAGGTTTCTACAGATCCATGTTCCAGCCTTATCATTGCTTGGACATGCATGGTGTATCGAGCAAATAGATATGCTCCACAAGTGTGCAACCTGAAGCTGCAGAAAACTTGGCTGCTGTGAGCCTCTCCTTACGTGATCTCCCCAGAGTTCTATGTCAGTACAATACAACACTATTTAGGTCCGGACTCAGGAAGACCCTGTATAGGACGTTAAATCTCACATACACTGTTTAGTTAGTCCAGGAACTGAGAACTCTTACGTCCAGCATCCTAAACGAAAAAAATCCATTTGGTATTCATTATAAGCGGGGAACAGCAACCTTTGAAGGTAGCATGAAGCTCCAACACAACATTTCACAGAAAAAAAATTAAGTTTTTTCTTCTGCCTGGTCTCACTCTCCCAGCAGAGGCATCTCACTTGGCAGGTTCCAGTCCTATTTCCCATTTCTATTCGGTACTGTAGTGTGCTTTTACGTTTTACAGGAATTTTTTGAGATTTTGAGTTTTATAGGAAATTTTGACTGATTAGGCTTCACACCCGTAGAGGTAGCTCTGCTTGGAAGAGCTACATCATCAGTAGTTATTGCGCTCAGCCTGTCCCTCTGCAAATGGTCTCGTTAGACTCCCAATGTTTTGAAGCACTTGACCTGCTATAATAATAAATAATTCACAATAATTTGTGAAAATCTGCTAAGTTATCTGAGGGACCTACAGGATTTACTACTAGCTTGATGCATGCACTCTGCATTAGTTCTTCACTTTGCCACCCGACTTGTGCATCTCCCCAGTACTTTTGTGTGATTTCCCCCCCCCCCCCCTGATGAAAGGGAAGGAGTCCCATAAAGAGCTCAAAGCTGGTGAACGAAGGTAAATAATGCCGCCTCATCGTAATAGTTATTAAACAGTTAAACAAGCAGGGGGGAAAAAAACCCGGAGGAACAGCCGGAGGCAAGTAATAGTTATTAAACAGTTAAACACGCAGGAAAAAAAAACCCGGAGGAACAGCCGGAGGCAGGGAACTTATTGCCATATTCCAGGAGAACATATAGTTTGGGGTGGGCGGGGAAGCTCATCCCAAAACAAATTCCTGACCAACCTCTTCCCAGGAAGATCTTTTCTAAAAGTGGAGAGCAGCTGTAGTGGGACCCAACTGAACGGGGATCTGCTGTTGTTGCAGAGGGCTTAAGGTGCTTTGCGTGATCTCCTAACCCAGTTCCTGCTTCCATTATCCCTTATTGCCTATCAGGTGCACGGAATGAGGCTGTAGATCCTCGCTCCTCCCTACAGCAGGCGCTGCTGTTGCAATCGTTTGCAACGGACAAATCTTTTCCTTGAATCAGCTTCTCCTCCCCCATCCCCGTTTCTTCTCTCAGTGTAGCACAGGGCTCCCACAGCTGTGTGTGTGCGGTTTCCACTCTCTGAGACACCGGAGTGCGAGTGGTGCGCTGAGAGAGAGCCGGAGGAGGACAGAAAAATCAGGCAGAAAGATTCAGTGGCTGGAGAGGGGGGAGAGAGTCTTGTCAATGGCTCTTCAGCAGCAGCCTTCCTATTTCCATCTCCTCTGACTGCACCCCAAAGCCTGACTCTTCTGCAGCCGGGGACACGGAGAAGAACAAGACATTTTGAAAGAGCAGGGGGGAAAGAGCCCCAGAAACTGCAAGGCTCTCTCATTCATTATTTTTTCCTCCTGTTTTGCCATGAACCAGGCTCTTCCCCGTCCCTGAGGAGAAATTAAAAAGCAGAAAGGGGAATTCAGCACTTCTTTGGTTGCTAAGGTAATTGGAGTGGTTGCACACAGCTTTCCCGATGGGCCGATGATGTTATAGATGTCGGGGATGTTTTGTTTGTTTAAAGAGAGAGCGAGCGCTTTAAAATCAACAGTCCAGCTCTGTCCACAAAACCGATTGAGAGTCAAAGCATGTTGGTTGGGCTCAGTGTTTTCAGAAACCCTTTTGGGGGGTGTGTGTGTTTTGGGGGGAGGGAGTTCTGATTATAGGCTGAAGACAATGTATTACCCTTTTTCTCTCCCAAGGTGGGTTGCATGATCTGGGTGTGTGTCTGAGGACAGGTAAGGTGTGTGTGTGTGTGTGTGTGTGTGTAAGTGAACGGACTGGTTAGCTGGCATGAACGAGCTCTAGGTAACTCTGCTCCCCGGAGTGCTGCTAAAATGCGGTTGTGTTGTGGGTTTCGTTGAGGCTGGTATTTGTGAATGCACGCAGACGGCTTGGAGAAGGACTTGTTCCAACTTCTGTCTATATTAAGCAGGATGGGAAAAAAATCGCTTTGAAGAAAAGCCAGCGGGGGTCACTCAGCTTCCAACGCGGGGACTTTGGTGTGTGGGTCTCCTGCTGTGTAGCTTCACTCGCATTTATCAATGAAGGAAGGTGGGAGTTGAGCGGTACTTTACTCGCGTCTCCACGGTGCTGGTTGTCAAAACTACGAGGAGGCTCAGCCTAAGCGCGGCAGCGAAAGCTCTGGTGGGGAGCGGCAGCAGGTCGGTCTGCAGGGCGGGGGCATTGGCTCGCTCCCAGGGCGAGGGGATGCTCTGGGTGAGCACGTTTCCCCGGGAAAAGGAAGCCCATGTGGCTGAAGGGCAAACCACAGTGGGTAGCGGGAGAGCCCGGGCGCAGCTCAGCTCCTCAGGCGGGCGTTTCAGAAGTTTCCCGCCGACAGGAGCTCTGGGGAGGGATATGGGAGTGGACTAAGGCGGGTGGGAAGGGGAAGGCGCTTTGATGTTGGTTAGTGGCGGGCGGGCTGGAGGACTGTGGTGCTGAAAGTTTTGTCTCTTTTGTGACGACAGCGAGTAACCCGCCCCTGCCCGTGCTAAGCGCCTCATGACAGCGAACGGCGTTTCAGAAGTTTCCCGCCGACAGGAGCTCTGGGGAGGGATATGGGAGTGGACTAAGGCGGGTGGGAAGGGGAAGGCGCTTTGATGTTGGTTAGTGGCGGGCGGGCTGGAGGACTGTGGTGCTGAAAGTTTTGTCTCTTTTGTGACGACAGCGAGTAACCCGCCCCTGCCCGTGCTAAGCGCCTCATGACAGCGAACACCGAGACCTGTGGTGCGTGGGAGCCACCCCCTAGCTCCCCGCCAGCCGACCCCACTCAGAGCCACGGGGCGGTGGGCGAGAAATGCCACGTCCGCTCCTGCAGAGCGGGGAAGGAGGGAGGAGATGGCGCGCTGGCTGGCTTGTGTGTAAAATGCAAATGTGCATCCCTGTGTGTCACCTGCCTCCTTCAGTCCCCGCAATGCTCACTGAACCCACGTCACTGGGACCCGACACAAGCACCGTTGCCTTGTGTCTGAGAAGACAGGTTGTCATGCCACATGACAGCTCGCAGCAAAGCTCTCTGGGCTAGGAGTATATGAAACGGGGCACTGCCTAGGGAGGGGGACACAAGCAGCCAGGAGGTGGCTCTAAGCCAAAAGATGCCCCCTAGGGACACTACGGAACGACACTCTTTTCGGGGACAGTTTTGCTGAGGCAGTTGCCTGTAGCTATAATTGTGTTTCCCTGCTTAATGACAAATGCCGTTTCCTTGAAGCCAAGATCGTTGCTCTCAAGAGATCAGCTGCGCCTTGTTCTCCGCGCAAAGCCATTCTCCTCTGTGATGCTGGCTACGGTAACCGATTGTGATGTCACCCGGGAAGAGTAGGGAATCGGCTGCAGAGTCAGCAAAAGCGTCACAGATACCCGGTCTGTAAGGGGCGTGTGCCGAAGTTCGGATGAGTGACAATACACTGTCCCGTCTCCGGACGTCGGGCCGCCCCGAAATAACAGCCCAAAGAGCCCGTACTTGTCCCCTCAGAAGCCAGCCTGGCTGCTCACGAGTAAACCTGGCTAGAGGACGGTGTAGCGAGCAAAACACTAACTTCTGGGACGGCTTGCTAGGAAAATGCCTTTATTACAATCTGTATGCGGCAGACTAGCTGGATGCTTCTGGATGGCTGTGAAAGTACGGCTACCCTGCTACAGTATTCCGAAGTAATTTAGTTCGGCAGTTATTTCAAAATGGAGTATTACTAGACTACACAGTTTTTCCGGGATTCCCTGTTCCTGGCCCAGGGAACACCTTTGCTTTTCTGCTTTTTTTTTCAATGAGAATTTTGCCAATAATTTCAATAGAAGCAAGATCAGAACCATTGGCAATCAATTATTTAAATATGATCAAACTCTTCTTGACTGATGGAAACTCTGAATATTACCACCAAATAATAGACAGCTACCTGACATATATAAAAAGACAGGATTCACAATGCTCTACTAACACTGAGTCTATCCGTACCCTACGGCTATGTCTAGACTGCAAGCCTCTTTCGAAAGAGGCTTTTTCGAAAGATACTTTCGACTATACTGCACGCGGAACTTTCGAAAAAGCAAGCTGCTTTTTCGAAAGAAAGCAGCAAGTGAGTCTGGATGCTCTCTTTCTAAAAAGCCCTGTTTGCTTTCAAGCACGCCTTTTTTTTCGAAAGAGCACTTTCAAAAAAAGGCGTTCTTCCTCATGAAATGAGGTTTACTGCTGTCGAAAGAAAAGCCGTGTTCTTTCGATTTAATTTCGAAAGAACGCGGCTGCAGTCTAGACGCAGGTGAAGTTTTTTTGAAAAAAGGCTACTTTTTCACAGCCATAGTGTCAAAATACTGTCAAGCTGGAGGACTTCTTACTCTGACTTGGGTAACCCTCATTGTATGAGGAGTAAGGGAAGTTGGAGGAAGAGTGCTCTATTTCGAAATAAGTGCTGTGGGACACTCCCTATTTTGAAATAAGATACGCAATTGAGGTAGCTCAATTTGAGTAGCTTATTTCAAGTTAAGTCCTGCAGTGTAGACCCATCCTAAGGCTCCTGCCATGCCTGCAAGTCAATTGCTTCTTGTTGGTTTTATTTATTTCAGTAGTTTCTGGTGAGTGCTGCTGGGCATAGTAGGAAACTCTCTGTAAATAGGATCACATTGCAAATCTTCTCTCCTCAATTGTGATGTGGTGCTCAGTGCTGCGCGTGCGTGTGTGTGTGTGTGTGAATGCTTGAGTGCGCAGTTTGCAGAGTGCTTTGAGATCCTTGTGCGTGAAAAGCGCTTAATAAAAGACCAAGTTGCACCTCTCTGACCAAAAGATGCTAGCTGTAAATTAGAGCATTGAGAGTTTTAAGAGGATACAAAGCTCATTAGCATTCCAAGATTGTAGTTGTGATTTGTTTAAGGGACTGCAGATGCTTCTCTCCCTCATTTCTCCCATCCCCTGGTTTTACAGTATACCACAGGTATACTGATTTTTGGATATCAAAACAATGATCAAATCTTCTGCTGTTTTTTTATTAAGTGCAATAATTTATTTCCCAGCTGATTTTTAAATACATTTCATAGATACCCTTCAAAATCAGCTTGGACAGTTCTCTTAAACAGGGTCCAATGCTTGAAGAACAATTATTTACCTAGGGGCATATCACTACAGGCACAGAACAATAAATGGAAATTGCTTGAATCTCTATAGTAACTGAGGAAGAAACTGTGTGGAACCTGGCAATATTGACTTTATTTTTGCATGAAATACTGTCTGGTCTAATGCACTGATTTTATTAGAATAATTAATGGTAAATGTTAGTGTATGCAATTATGATAGAATTTAAAGTTCCCAAATGCCCCATCCCAGTTTTCAAATGTTGCAAAGATCATGAACTTGTGTGTGAGACAGTAACAATTTTCACGTACTTCAGTGTGAGTTTAAAAGCCCCAGTTAAGCCACCTCAATAATTTTCTCATTGCCCTCTTAAAGCTATTTCAGGAAAAGCAATATGCATCTGTGCAATTATAATCATTAGCATCATTATTATGGACACTGCTTGCCCTCAATTTGTGGCTGATCATTACTATAATGGTGATGGTACTGCAAACTGTTTTCATCCAAGTAGCCCTGGAGACCAGGGCGAAACCATGTCCCCACAAAGGAGTGATCCTCACCCCTTCTCTCTGCAGGCAGAGGAGGCTCTTCAGGGTACTGCATGTATTTCTGGAGTAGCCCACAAGTCTGATGAAAGTGAACAGGGTGCTCTTCACAGGAATGCTCTCTGCATTGCTTAATGTGTGCAAGGCAGCATGAGCAAAATTGAATGTGTGGTTCAGAACTGCCAGAATCCATCAAAGTCTCTTTCAGCATCTAGGCAGGGAAGAAAAGAAGGAAGTACTCTCCCAAAGACTGCAGTGGGCTAGTAGATGGAAAAGAAAGAAAAAGTACTGTGCCAAATGAAGTCATAAAGAGACTCAGTAGGGCAACTTGACATAGTTTGTTGTGATATTAAATCATCCATTTAAAATTGATTAATGATGTTGTCATGTCACAATTCCATCTTTACAGTGCATTCTCAAGTTGTCATGTTGTAATTACTTTGTGGTTGTTTATGACTCCATTCCGTGGAGATGATCTTCTCCTGCACTTTAAGAAAGATGATCACTATCTTAAAGAATCTGGCTCAGAACAATCTTGTCCATTTCACTGAGACAGGGTTTGATATAAAATCTGATGTCTGCCATGATACATTCACTAAAAACAGCAGTGACAGACTTATCTAACAAGAGTGATGTCTGAACTAGGGTTCGTCATTCCTTACCAATGTTATAAAACAGAGGAACATAGTTACTTCCTCCCTTCTTACCACCAGAGACAGTTTGATCTGTGCTTGCCTTTGTCTTGACATTTCTGGTAAGACACTCTGGTTAGATAGTCATGGGGACTATTTGAGTAGATTTGCTGTAACAAGCACCAGTGGATTATTATAAGTTTAATA